CTTTTGGAGTCCCGGAACCGCCTCCGGTTACCTCCTCGGGCCGGGCCTAAGCCCGGTACCGGTCACCCGGGTCGGGCCGGTCCCGCATAGTAGCGGGCCGGGTCGGTTCCTGGGCCGGTCGGACCGGACCGGATCCATGGCTAAGTATTGCTATGTTTGCAAAATGAATCTAATTATGACATTGCTATATTGCTATCATACGTATTTAAAACTCAATAATATCAAAATATGACAGTAATTTAAGTAAACCTATTTAGTGGGTGATATATAATGCTCATGCTCCTGTCCTAAGACTTTTACGTTGATTTTACTCAAAAAAAATCATTCACTTAATAATTAATACATGTAGATATTCATTATCATAAACTTCGTTTGCCGTGACAATATCTAATTTGTTCAGTAAAAATTATTACTTCCTCCCTTCCTAAAAATTCTTCCTGGTTTGACTTACTATAGTTAATTTGCACGCTTATTAAGAAAATGGAATAAAGTGGAAATGTATGGTTGTGGTTGTGTAAGAAAAATGTAAAATGAATGTGAACCACACAAATTGTCCAAAATGGGAAAGTGAGAAGTATTTTTGGGAACAACCCAAAAAGGAAAGTGGGAAGTATTTTTGGGAACGGAGGGAGTATTAGTTTAACAATAGAATAATTTTTAATTTGTGATATGCATAATCTTGTCATATGTGATTCATCACGCCACAGAATTTCAAACATTTTACGCCACGTACTGAAAACCTGGGCGCAAATTAATTTACTCGACCCCACAAAATTTCTAAAAATAGAAAAAGGACAAAAAAACAAGCCAAGGGAAATGAATCACCGCCAAGTCTGAAAATTGATAAGATCGTAGAGAGTGAAGCAATATAATACAACATCATAAAAATGGCAGATTTGGCATTGTTGAAAGTGGCATGACAACAACTGCAAACAACCTTGGGTACATAGATATAATAGCACATAGAACAAAGTCACAACTTATGCTAATTTAAGTATAAAGTAAGTAAAATTAGTTTATATATATATATGGTGCGCTTCAAATAAAAGGGTATTAACGTCACTACAAAAAAATGGAATTGACAAGAATTTTGGTAGAGATTTGAAAAAAAATGAAGAAGGATTTGGCAGGGATATGCCAAATTCCGTATCAAAAACACTTTTGCACGAGCTATTTGACACGAAAAATCGGTAATTCCGTGCCAAATTCCGTGCCAATCCTGTAACTTTTTTGTAGTGCGTGTAAAATGCAAAATTTTCACTTTTGCAACGTTGTGGTGCACGTTTCTATTCCGTTACTGCACTTTTTCACATTTTGTAAGAAAGTTCGTTTATTTACTAAACTGCCACCGTTGTATTTTTTAAAAAGTGCATTTTCTGCAAATGTGAAAAATTGCATTAACTGAACAAAAAAAGGCACCACAACGTTGTAAAAGTGAAAATTTTGCATTTTACACGTTAAGACCTCTTTTTATTTGATCTGCACCTTATATATATGTGTGTATATATATATATTTGAAATAATATTTGTTTATATTTATGCACTCCTTGTGTTTATTATACCAGAGTATGTACTTGGAATGTATTTGGAATTCTTCTCTCTAAAAAATTCAGATTTTGAAAATTTAAATGAGAGGAATTTTACAATATTTTTCAAAAAAAAAATTGATAATACATTAATAAATAGAATGTAGTCATTGTAGAGCATGTGAATAGTGCAAAATCATCGATATCGGCATGTTGCAACTAAATGAGAATGAAGATTGTATGTAATTTTAATTTTAATGACACCCAAGTAGTTTCATATTACAAGTAAATGTTTGTGTGCAGTATCAGCACACTAAGATAGAAAGGACAGACTTGTCCATATATCATATATGTAGTTTAATCTAGCAATTGAGCTATTCTTTCCAATGTCAAGACTGTGTGTAATTTGATTGAACTCACCATTTTTATGATCTAACGTCTATATGTACAAAATATGTGTACATCAAGCATCGCTCTTATTTAAGCGATGAATAATGGTGATTAATCTCTGGCCCGCTAACACTTGTATGATGCGATTCCCTAGAAAAATGATTTTGTGTGATTAATATTGAATTGGTAAAATTAAAATAAATTGGTGAAGATTAGAATCATACGCACATTATCAAATTTGATACGGGATTATTTACAGACCAGAGATTAATCACCATTCATCACTACATTGCGTGTGTATGTTGACAAAATTTAATAACTTAGCAGTTTTTTTGACAAAAATTAGTTAGCAGTTTACAACATTAAAGTATTGCTCTATGCATATTTTTTTGATGAAAAAAGTGTATATGTCTAATTATTACGTATTATTATTAGTACTAATCATATGTAATTTTTACCATAAATGACATAGTAAGTAACTAAGTATGTCATCATATATTATCACTTTTGTGAGCATAAAAAAGTAATTTGATGATCCGGTCTTCGACTCCTTCCGTCCCTATATAAAAGTATTCATTTATTTCCCACATATTTTAAGAAAGTGGGTTGGTTGGTACTGTTTGGACACTGTTTGACACTGTTTTGTTTGTCAAAAAAGGAAAGAGGACTTTTATTTAGGAACGACCCGAAAAGGAAACATATGTTTTTATTTTAGTACTCCCTCCGTTCCTATTATAACTTCCAACTTTCCTTTTTAGTCCGTTCCAATTAGAACTTTCACTTTCCTTTTTTGGTAAAGAATTTGTGGTTCACAACATTTCTTACACATTTCTCTCTCCTCTTCACAACTCTCCACCACACAGTACCCACTATCTTAAATTGTGTGTCAAACCTATTTGGAAGTTATAATAGGAATGAAGGTAGTAATTGCTCTATATAGGACTAAAAATAACCTAAAATGCACAAATAAGACCACTACATTTTTAACCATCCCAAATAGAACTAAATAATTGATTCCTACCAGAAATGCCCCTAAGGGTAGTATTTCATAATGAAATGTTATAATTCATAATAAAATCTTAAAAATAATAAAAAATCACATTTTTTTTAAAAAACCGTACAAAAAAATAATAATAATAAAATCTTTTTAAAATAAAAAATAAAAAAAATATTTTTTTTAGTTTTATTTTTAAAAATAATAAAAAATAGTAAAACCCCATAAAAAATATGGATACTTTTCCCACCACCTTCCAGCGCCACCACCTTCGATCGGTAAAAATTATGCCATTTTTAAAAAAAAAAATCATTTCCCCCCTGAAAATGCCAAGAAAATGGCATTATTACTCTTCATAATGCCAAAATTCTCGTTGAATCTGCAATTATTATGGAATTAGTAAAATTGTTGGCAGATTGTTTTTTAAAATAAATTAAAAAAAAATTGTAAACACCCAAAAAAATATGGATACCTCTGATCGGTGAAAATTCTGCAATTTCTAGTAAAAAATGCCATTATTTTCTGAAAATGCAAATAAAATGGCATTATTACTCATCATAATGCCGAAATTCTCATTGAATGTGCTATTATTATGGCATTGCTAAAAATGTTGACAGATTTCCAATCGGTGATGGAAGGTGGTGGTGCTGGGGTGGCAGAGGGCCAAAGGCTGCGGCGATTTTTTACATTTTTTTAATTCTTTTTTTTTTAATTTTTTTATTTTTTTTATTTTTTTTTTAATTTTTTATTTTATAAATATTTTATAATTTTTTAATGTTTTTTTAAGTTTTTATTGTTTTTTATGTTTTTTTTTTATGATTTTATTATTAATTAAGACATTTCAAAAGCTACAAGGGTATATTTGTCTAAACACACATAAATAGTTCTACTAGGGGAAATTAAAAACATGCAGTCCTATTTATACTTTACGCCACTTTTTTGGCCTATTTAGATAATCAACTCTTTTTATTTAGGGACGGAGGGAGTATATATTATCTTGCAAGCATATCTTTGTAGTTTATAAATTAGGGGAGTTAATAAAAGTTTTGAATTCTCTTTTCTGATCATAGATAGGGCAAAATACTAATATGGAAATAATTGTTTAATTAATTTTTTGAATATTACTAATTGTTTAATTAATTAAATACGCATTATGGATATTTTTGTTAATGATCAATATGGATATTATTTTATCATTGAAGTAATATTAAAAATTACTTAGTACAAAGTGCAATTTTGTTATGAATGAATTACAACTATGATACTCTCTATCCGTATTTTAAAGTTTGTTACATTTTTCTATTTAGAATGTATTGAAAAATTTGGTACACTTTCCATTTTTAATAAATTTTTCTTCAAAAATACCTAATTACTTTTACTTTTTTACTTCTTATCCTTTCGTTTCAACTTTTTCACCTTTTTTTTCTATTTTTTCTACACTATTCATTATACATACTATTCTCCCTTAAATATGGAAAAAATATTATTAATGGTTTTAAGAATTTCGATAATAATTAGATGCAGCTATGAATCTATGATATACTACTACTACAAACTTCGTACTTGCTATCAACATGAGAAAGATTATTTTTATCAATGAAAATTATAGTTTTGGTTGTAATCATTTATAGCTACAATGGTATAAATGATATAAACAAGAAAGTGATTAATTTTAATTAAAAATCAATTCGGTAGATTTTTGTACTAATAAATTAAAAAGAACTAAATAATTTTGATACTAACCAACTGCACTCTGCACCTACAATATTAAAGAGTATTATTCAACTTTGAGTCGGTGTCCGGTGACATAACTCAACTGAGAGACACTATGCAAGATATCATAATAAGGTAAGTCTTGGATTCGAATTCTATCAATTTGTGATTAAAAACAATTTAGCTGTTCAGCCGGGCTCTCAAGGATGAAGTGACATTCTTTTTTCATATCATTATGGAACAAAGATTTTTTTTATGAAAGAATAAATATTGAATGATAATCGAAGAAATTCAAAATGGAAAAGACTCTTTCATCCTTCTTTCTCTTTATGGGACAAAGATTTTTTTACTCAGAAACTCTATATCTGAGTAACTAACCCCCCTGTGTCGTTTTCCTCTTCCTAAATTATAAAGCTGGCGCTTACGCCACCCTGCAGTTTAGTCTGTAAAGGACTCTTTCATCCTTCTTTTCAAGACCGTGACCCTAAGCAAAAGTTCGATTCTTTTCTTCTCACGGCATACGTGCATTGTCGTTTAAGCTATCACGCTCTCCCCTGTTCAATTCAGCTGTCAAGAATCCTTATTTGCAGCCGCTGAACTCTGTGCCGGGCCTGGCTTTTGATTCGACTCCTGAATGTATGTTCCTTGACGTCGGCGGGTTTTGAAGTGCCAATTCTTGCTTCAAAGGTTTGTTTTTTAACAAAAAAAAAAATCCATACTCCGTATATGCTACTTTTTCTTTTTCTTCCTGCAATTGAATTTCTGGGTTATTTAGTGAACTTTGTGTGAGATAATGATTTGTGTTATAATATACTTTTTGCCTAGTATCCTTCTTAACTGGATTTTCATGTTTGATAGCTACAAATTTAATCATGGAAGTATCCCTATCAAAAAGAGGCTAAGAGTGGGGCAAGTGGTTTCTCCTTTCCTGTGGACTGCATGAAAACGAAGGTGATATTGAATTGTCTGGCATCTTTGTGACTAATAAGAAGTTCTCATATATTCTCTGCTAACTTCCAGTACAATTCTTTCACAAAGTGAGATAGCAACGTAATATACACGCTGTAAGGGAACTGTATTGGGTCAGTTTTTATGCTGATTTTGGCACCTATTTTGGGTCTTTTTTTATGATTCCATTAAAAGTAAGCTGATAGGAATTATCATCCTCTAATTTTTTTTTTTTTTTGAAAGACTCCAAAATTTCAGCTTTAGAAACTCTGGGTTAGCGATTGCGTTTAAATTGTATTCTAAAAGTGAGGAAATGGTGTTGCAGGGAATATGTGGATTGAAGATGAAGCAGATGCACATTTTGGGCTTTCTTTGTATACTGATGTTGCTTGTTGTCTATAGGACCACTATTTTTCAGTACCAACAAGAAGAGGTATGGTTAAGGGTGACATGCTTGCTTATATTAAGTTCAAGTTTCTTTGTATGTGCAAGAGCCACAAGTATATTGTTTGAGTGATAGAATTCAGGATTGGGTTGGTGTTGGTTAATTGGGTCATAAGGCACTTGGACCCAAAACACACTAAATGAGTGAACCCAATCGTTTAGTTAGTTCGCCAAATCGCCAGTACGTTTTACCAACCCATCATTTTCTTTTTATTTAACCTACATGGGACTGTAAAAGTTTGGTTTTGCTCTACAACTTCCATCTTGGAGATCCTTCGCCTGTTTTTATATGCCTATGCAAAAACAATTCATTAGTTTGTAGTGTATAAAACAGTGGTTCATATAAATAGAAAACCTTACACTCTTGGAAGAAGAAGAAGGTATGGTCCTTAATAACGTCTTCTTTTTTTGTTGTTACCAGATGGAATCAAAATTTGATCCACTCTACTTTTCAGAGGTAGCTGTTTTATATAGTTTTTCCCCCACAGAATATTACGGAGTATGTAATACAGAGTAGCACATCTATCAATTGTACATGGAGATACAAAAATTTCTTAAACAGGTCACTAAATGTATTATCTATCCCATCCATCAGCGCTCTGAGATGGATTTCATGCATTTTGGCAGGAAGCTCATGTGGCCCATGGAAGTTCAAGTAGTTTGCCACATGGCATTGTTGAGGCTTCATCAGATCTCGAGCTAAAGCCTCTCATGGGTATGCACATTTCAAAGTCAAAGGTCATACATCTTCTTAAAAATTAAGTGCACTTTTTAAATCACTTAATTGTTGAAAGCAAGTCACTAAACACACTCTTTAGTAATTGGTACATCACATTTGAGTATTTGATCCTTTTGTCTTTCCATGGTCCAGGTTAGTGTTAAAGGATATCATAACTTGTTGGCAATGCCAGTTGGCATTGAACAGAAGGATAATGTTGATGAAATTATTCAAAAGGTATTCTTCTGCTAGTTCAGTATGTTTTTACTTCACTACTTCAAAAGGATTCACTATCATGTGTCGTCTATATTCCTTTTTCTAACAACATTTCTATTATCAGTTTCTCTCGGAGAATTTCACAATTGTTTTATTCCATTATGATGGTAATGTGGATGGGTGGCGGGATCTTGCATGGAGTAAGGAAGCCGTTCATGTAGTTGCTCTTCATCAAACAAAGTGGTAATAAGATCCTATGAACTGAAAAATAATCTTTTTTATGCAAATCATTTATGTTTTGTTCACCTGACAAGTTAGTTCATGTTGGGTTTTTCACTTGGTTATATCTTAGGGTTGGTTTGGGTGGATGATGAGGTTTTGAAGGGCTTAGTCATCTTGATAATAGAATGTTTCTACAAACTAATGAATGATGAACTAAATGTTAAAAGGTCACATATTATGTTGGTTCTCAATTTTTTTTCTCCCAAAACCTTCCGTTCCGTACTCCTCCAAATCCCTCTACCCAAACTGAGACTTAAGGTCACTGATTGTTTTTTGCTTTATATATTATCAGGTGGTTTGCTAAGCGTTTTCTGCATCCTGATATTGTATCTATTTATGACTACATATTTCTATGGGATGAAGATTTAGGCGTGCAGAATTTTCATCCTGCAAGGTTATGATTTATCGGTTATGATTCATCACACATAAGTGCATAATCAATTTACTCATTGTTAACAGAAAATTTCCTAAAAAAATACTCCCTGCATATGTGCAGATACCTAGAAATTGTAAAATCGGAAGGACTAGAGATATCTCAGCCAGCTCTAGACCCTAATTCGCCCGGCATACATCATAGGATTACAGTAAGAAGCAGAACAAACAGGTTTCACAGGTTAGCTTTATCATACCATTTGCTTTAGAGTTTTATTTTTGGGATCTTCAATGAATTCTTATTTCTTGTTAGCATTGTTTTATGCAGAAGAGTAAATCAGGGTAAAGGTAGTAAAAAATGTTCAGATGAAAGTGAAGGCCCTCCTTGCAGTGGGTAAGCTATCTTAGATATATAAAATGACTGTCACACATTGTCACACATTGTGTCTGTCAAAAAATATATTTTGGATCCATTTGTAACTTGACAGATATTAACTTTGAAGGAAAGAAAATCAGGGGTAAATGAAAAAAGAGAACTGAAGGATATTTGATTGGACTCATTATTTATTTATTTATTTATTTATTTATTTATTTATTTATTTATTTATTTATTTATTTATTTATTTATTTATTTATTTAAGTTTTTAATACAGAGTATGAAATATCATACTCCATATATAAGTATTCAAAAAAAAACTAATCATATCCCGTATTCATTTACAATGAGAAAAGTAAAACCAAACATAGAGAAAAAACAATTTTAACTTGCATTTTTATTGTTTTTTCACTAGCACTTTCCACGATCCAAATGCTCCCTTTGGGTTTCTTATGCTGGGCATTTATATGAATATAGTCATTCAACTCATTCAAGTCCTCCGTCCCGCCTAATTTATTTCTTTGTGTTTAGGAAAAAGAAAATATTTCCCAACTCTATCAGACTATTGAACTAATTATTTTTTCCCGGCTCTCTATCTCTAATATCATGAAAAATGCATTTATCACTTTTAGTTTACAGGTTTGTGGAAGGAATGGCTCCAGTCTTTTCAAGGTACGCATGGCGTTGTGTATGGCATCTTATACAGGTAATTGAAAAATAAAGAATGAGAATGTCCCTTTTATATATGCTTAGTTCCAAAACATACTACGGGTATAATCCATTTCATTTTTTCCCTGCACGAGCTATATAAAATATTTAATTCAATGATCGATTGTCTGTCAGAATGATCTTGTTCATGGATGGGGAATGGACATGAAATTAGGTTATTGCGCTCAGGTATGATTTTTACTTAATTCTCTGCTTACTTGTGTAAGATGATTGTTTTTGTTGAATCTAAAAAAGTGTCCCACATCAGATAAATACCTCTCTATACAGGATCTAGTCCAAGGGTGATGAATATGAGAAGGAAGAAAAAATATGAATCTATGGTGCCTGAAATATTAATGGGCTCCCTCCCTCAGCAAAGAGTTGTCACGGGTTCCACTGTGCGCCAAAAGACAAGAGTCCTAAAACAATATAATAGGAAATCAATCTAATACTTGGCCAAACTTGCCCACATCACTTTTATAAGAGCTTTTAATGTTGAGTTACACTCGACCTTATTTTGAAAAGATTTCAAGACTAACTATCCCTTCGAGGACATTCTGTAAAATTGGAACAATAGAGGGAAGCCTGGCCAGCTGGCCCTGATGCAAGGTTAATACTCGACCCAAATTGAGATATGATCCACATTTTTCCCTTAAAAAGGCTAACTAGAGATCATATAGTCATGCGTTAAGCTAAAAGTGGTTGATAACTTAGGATTTGGTCACTTATTTTAGTCCCAGACACATAAGATCAAAATAATATTACGACAATTTTAAACGAAGCAGATCATATTGAAACAGACCAAGCCATACTGATTGTGAATAATAATAAAATACACATTATACCAGAGCAAATCAAACTTAAATAGACCAATCTAGGATGGACTTAAAAGACAAGGCTAGACTAGTCCAGACCAAGCGAGTAAATATATTCCAAATGAATTGATCCTTGGCTCCCTGCTAAAGTGCTAATATTATTTTGCTATGGGAGTTTCTCTGTAGGGTGACCGGGCAAAGAAGGTGGGCATAGTTGACAGTGAATATGTAGTACACCTCGGCATTCAATCGTTAGGCGGCTCGCCCCCTAATAAGGTAGCTAACTCTACTATGCAGTCTAACTCATTCACATCTATTGTTATTAAGTTAAAATGTTTGTTTTTCCTGCTGCAGGCTTCAAGTCCTCAACCGTCCCCAAAGGTGTAGTATTGTGTTTCTTCATACATGTTTGTGTTTGCCAGCCACATACTGACATACCTATACTAATTAATTCATCCTGATTTTCGGAAAAAATACAGGTTCGTGGAATGGATATGAGAGTTAAGGTAGAGAACTTGATCAGGATAATTTAATTCTGGACTCTTATTTTGGTTAATCTTTTTCAATGTATACATTACTATGCATTAACTTTGGATGAATATCAGATTAGAAGGCAATCAACATATGAGCTGCAAATATTCAAGGAGAGATGGGAGGAAGCAGTGAAAGAAGACAAGAAGTGGGTGGACCCATACAAACACAAATCTACCCCCAACCTTGATACACTCTCAACCCATTGGTGGTGATATATGATCAAATCTATCTATCTCAAGTACATTTACTGTGTGTATGCAAACACCATATGACCATATTAGGCCCATCATACTGTATATATATACTGTTTGTAATTATTAATTTTTTACCGTTAATAAAGTTATTATTATTACTTGATTTTTATCTATTAATATTATGTTTTTGTTAATATCAAGCGAACTGATTATTGTTTAGGGCTTAAGATTTAGGGGTGGGGCGACCAAGAGATGATGAATGTCATCATCCCTAAACTATGCACACCTATTGAGAGGGAGTATGCATGGACTGGGCCGGTTCAGCCCGGCCCGGCCCGCTACTGTGCAGGACCGGCCCGGCCCGGCTGACCAGGACCGGGACTGGAGGTCCGAACCGGGCTATTAAGGGCGGGCTACGGGATCCATAAATGGTGGATTGGCCCGGCCAGTCCGGGCCCATTTTTTTTTGTTTTTTTTCGCATTGGGCTACTGCTAGGTAGGTTGGGCTCGGTGTTTTGGCGGGGTTTGAGGGGTGGGGGTAGGAATGAATGCGAAAAGGGTAATTAGAAAAAATACCGGGCCTGGTCTAATATTAATAAAGTTATTATTATTACTTGATTTTTATCAATTAATATTATGTTTTTGTTAATATCAAGCGAAGTAATTATTGTTTAGAGCTTAAGATTTAGGGGTGGGACGACCAAGAGATGATGAATGTCATCCCTAAACTATGCACACCTATTGAGAGGGAGTATGCATGGACTGGGCCGGTTCAGTCCGCCACTGTGCGGGACTGGCCCGGCCCAGCCCGCTACTGTACAGGATCGGCCCGGCCCGGCCCGACCCGGTACTATGCAGGCCCGGCCCGGCCAACTGAGACTTGAGGTCTGAACCGGGCTATTAGGGGCGGGCTACGGGATCCATAAATGGTGGACCGGCCCGGCCAGTCCGGGCCCATTTTTTTCGCATTGGGCTGCTGCTAGGTGGTTGGGCTGGGTGTTTTGGCGGGGTTTGAGGGGCGGGGGTAGGGATGAATGTGAAAAGGGTAATTAAAAAAATACCCGACCCAGCCTGGCCCGGGCCCGGTCTAAACCCGGGCCGGTACCGGGCCTGCAGCCCAAATCACCAATCCCAGCCTGGGGCCCGGCCCAACTGAGGGAGTGTGTGTAAAGGTAATCTCATATAGGCTGGACCGCTGGATTGATGAAAATCCTGTCAGTTTAATTTCATTTTGGCAAAATGTTTAACCAATGATCCAATTTGGTTTGCTCATTAGTAGTAGGAGTGGACTCGGGTCGGGCCAACCGGCCCAGAACTGGACCGGCCCGCTGCTGTGCGGGCCCGACACAGCCCGGTGAACCGGTTGGTTGGCCGGTTTGGGCCACCCGGCCCGGTGGGATGGCGGTTCGGGCTCGGGCCCTTCAAAAGGTGAACCGGCCCGGCCGGTTCGGGCCCGGGCCGGGCCAATTTTTTATTTTTATTTTTGATTTTTTTTAAGTTTTTGGGTTGGGCTGGGTATTTTGGGCCATTTGAGGTGGTTAGGGTTGGTTTGGGGGTGAGGGGGAGGGTTGGGGGTTAACTAGGAAAAGTCAAAAAAAAAATTAGAACCGAGGCCCGGCCCGGACCCGGGGGTTACCCGGGCCGGTTCCGGGCCTCCCCTTCATGAACCGAGGCCCGGCCGGGCCCGAATCGGAACCGGTCCATCCCTAATTAGTAGTAACCATTTGTTTGAACCCTTGGATCATCAAAATCATTATTTTTTATCAAGCATCGTTCCATTTTCCAATACTCCGTATAAAGTATTAGAAGTGAAGATGTGAGTTTATAAGACCTAATAAGTAAAAAAATTGGGATAAAATGGTCATTACCTTAATTTTTGGGATAATTTGAGATTGAACCGATGATATTCCCGTAGTCTGATATAATCATATAATACCTTGATTTTTGGGATAAAATGAGATTGAACCGATGATACTCCCATAGTCTGAACTGATATAATCATATAAAAACTTCAACACACATGCAAACACACAAATATCATCATCTAACTATATAAGTGTTGGTCATTGACCAGAAAACTAATAATGTAGATTAAGAGGCCATTTGGCAGCACTTTTTTCGGCTTATCAGGCTTATCAGTCAACTTTTTCACCAAACACGTAACTTTTGCTTTCGCGTGCTGAATTGTGTAATAAGCATAAAATGTAAGGTTGCAGTGACTTTTCTGGTTGTATTGCCTGATGTTACTATAGATGATCATTTTAGCTATTTTTACATATAATTTTTTCTTTATTTTATTAATAAAATACATTTTAAATTATTTTCCTTAAATCAGCAGAATCAGCCAATACCAATCACTTCAGCCCGAACGGGCTCTAAAATTTTTTATAATCAATGGGCGATAAAATGCATTGTTACGAGAACCCAGGAAGACAAATTAAACAACCAAGAATCTAAATTGAATTAACTCACCAAAAATTATACTTGTATATAATAATGTGATTAATATATTGACGGCATAACACAAGTGACACATACAAATTCCATCAGGAATCAAGATCTACTGGAATTAACTTCACCTCAAGTTACTCCACCAACCCATAAATCTGGGTTCAATATCATTTTATATTTGATCTAATAGGTTGGCAAAATAATTTCTAATGAAATTAACTCGTTAAATCACTCCTTATTCCATAGTGAAAATATATTATATATGAGTATATTTAATTTAACATTTAAGATAGATATATGCGAGCCACCGCGCGCGGGCTTTGCATAATTACTTAGACGAACAAGTGGCCGTACAAGCGTGGCAGTCGAAATTGCATCCGCCGCCGCCGCCGCCAAAGCCGTATCCCTTCCCGCTGTGGCTAAACGACTGGAAACAGTTCTGCGGACAGGTCATCTGCTTTGGGAGACATCGGCTAGGCTCTGGACACTGAAAGGGTTCATTCACCACGCCACCTCCGGCTGACGACCCTCCATTCGGGCCTCCGACTCCGTACCCAAAAGCTCCGGCGGCACCTGCCCCGGGTATTTCAAAACCGGTTCCGGAAATAACCGACCCGACTCCATAGTCCGGTATGGCCTGCGGCTCGTCAATGCCGGCGGCGGAGGTTATTGATTCCGGTTCCAGCTGAGCCGGCCGGATTGCGAGGATGGAAGCGGGGGTGATGATGATTAGCAAGAAAGCTGCCGCTGTGATCGCTGCTTGGAATCCCATTTTTGTTTGGTATAATGATTTGTTTTTCTGAAGCCTTTGTTTATATAGAAGTGGCAAAACCAGAAGTTCAACCCCTCTGTTTCATTTTTCGTACATCAATAAATGTGGTATTTAATTATTGTTGAAGAAACCACAAATTTGTGACAGGCTTCATGTTCCGAGATAGGTTTCTGATTTGTTTTTGATAGAAAGCTTTTTAAGGTCTCATAACTTTAATGAGAAAGCTGGAAATAGGGGAGGTTATGGAAGAAAAGATTACTTCTTTTATTATTTTCGAAATGAGAAAGTTCATTTGGTCGTGACCCAAAGATGAAAGTGAAATACTATTGGAAATATAATAAATTAGTCAACGCGTTCCTCAATTTGATTTTATAGGAAATCAAAGTAAAATAGAAAAAAAGTGACAACTCCGGTACCCATTTAAAAAATGGGTTACTGTACCTATCATTCATTTGAGTGGTCCACATCATTATATCATTTTTAATTTAAATTTAAATAATTCAATTGCAACACTCTAATTGATCCATGTGCACAAAAATATGGTACCCTACGGGTACCATAGAATATAACTAGAAAAAAGCACTGTGCATGGATACTTTGGGAGTTGGGACAAGTTTGGACATGAAATCAGGGACATAAGAAACCAGACTCAAGGCCGTTCTTGTATCTCTCGGTTCTAGCGGCGAGAATGTATTACGGAGTACGACTTAGTCTCAATTTGATGGTCTCATTTATTTTGGACACAAGTCTTAATAAAGTGATTGAAAAGGTGAAAGTTGTGGTTGAGATTTGAATATGATAAAGTCAAATAATATGGACCACATCTTTCTTTCAAGAAACATGACAATCATTTTGGGACATCCCAAAAAGGAAATACAGCACCATCATTTTGGGACGGAGGTAGTAGTATTTAAGAGTGTACCTGTGCATCTACTTAGATGACTAGTAAAACCAAGATGCGTGTGAATTTGAACTCCAATGTGCATCTACTTACCTATGATTTTTTACTAATACAAAATCATTTATATTAATGGTCAAAGTTGGATATCAGCAAGTGTGAAATGTTGACCGTTGCATTTATTTAAGAACGGAGGAAGTACTACCTAAAAAATTTTGAACTACACTAAAAGCAGTTGGGTACCGGTGCCGCATAAATTAACACAGGCACCATAGAAATTTCCTATTAATATTATTAGGATTCAAATTATTACAATTAATTCAAAGAAATCGACATCGACAACAACTATCTATAACTAACTAGCAATATCAATCTTACGGCTAGACTTAGAAACGAGCATCCCTGACAGCAGCAGACGCAGGATTTCTCAGTATTAAAAATTTAAGAGCTCGTCCTCTTCCGGGACTACCTCCATACCAGCAAGAACTTTGTGGAAAGATTTTATTTCAGTATTATTTTCTCTTTAGTAGCACTTCTTTCTGTTTTAGTCCGAGTGAATTTGGTTTGGATGTTTGGATTTTTGGAGTTATTTTGATAGGCACTGTTTTGATTCCGATCATTTAGGCCTAAAATTTGCTCGTTTCAAGTTTAACGAGTCATGTAGCTTTTGTATGAGGTGGCTCACTCTAAGTTTACTCCTAGGGTTCATGATTGATCAGTAATTTCTGTCTAAATGGTTGTCTTGTATGTGTTCTCAATTTTAAAATAACAGTCGCTCTGTTATGATAAAAAACATTTACCTTATCCTTTATTTTTTTAAAGCTTGCATCAAATTCACATATATATATCAAACTATGGGATGGATGGAGTACAAATTAAAGCATTGAGCAATAGGTCGGAAAATTGATATGAGTATATATAATAGCACATACACATATACATACACAAATACACAATAGAGAACGAGAATAAATGATGTATTATAAACACAACTCAATTTAATTGAGCCGCACTTCATTAATTAACATTAAGAGCCCGCTTGGTAACATCGAAATCAGCTGAATTGACTGATTCTACTGAAATTTATGAAATTCTGGCTAAAGTGACTGGATTATAAAAAATAAATAAAGTGAAAAAGTTGACTGATAAGCTTGATAAGCTGAAAAAATGATGTTTTCAAATTCAACATGCAGAGAAGTGAGAGAACGTGAAGTTACATGAAACCCTAATTAAAATGGAAAGTTTAGATAATTAACTAAATAATACTACAAGGAGCTGCGATGGAGCATACGTACAAGCAAGAAGCTATGACGACCTATCTACTAATTATATACTCGTCCCAGAGAGATTGGCCACATTGATTTTTCTTGATCAATGGAGGTCAAATTTGACCATTGATATTTTTTAACAAAAAATTATTTAAAATATGAAAAATTATATGAGCATATTTTTTATTAAAAAACTTTCATAAAAGTGTAAAAATTTATAATTTACACAGAAATATAATACGGAGTACTTAAAATCATTGTCTAAACTTTGATATCATTGATTAAGAAAAGTCAAATTCGGTCTTCTTTTTGAGACGGAGGGAGTATATAATTTAAGAATAGATCTTATTAACAACATTATATTATTATCGTATTATTATTATTATTATTCATTAATTAGTTAGAGTCTCCAAAAATCCGGTTCAGAGTAGCAGCCAATCGGACTGCGCCCTGAGCTATACGTCTGGTCACGATTGGAAGCCTTGAGTTGAAGTAATCATCTGCATCATGCATTCCACGTGTATAATTATTTAATGGTAATTAATTAATAGTTTTTTGAAAGGAATAATATTTGTAGCAATTTCTTTTAAAAGAAATTCATGGAGTAACAAATATGATTTTTTTTAGGAAAATGCTTAGTGTACACAAATTGTACACAAAATCCCCATAGTTGCATGTGTACACAGACGATTCATTTAGAAAAAGACAGAATTTGATACTCAATTGTCTGTGTACACAGACAATGTTCACACATCTTGCGTACGTCTAGCATGACCCTTTTTTTAAACAATAGAAGTAATAATGTTTTTTCCATAACAAATTTGGTTATAGTTAAAGAATAGATGGTAGAATTGAATGAACACTACAAAAAAATAACGGGAATGACACGGATTTGGCACAGATTTTCCGATAATTTCGTGCCAAATAGCTCGTGCCAAACTATTTTTGGCACAGATTTGGCATATCCTTGCCAAAATCCATTCCAATTTCAGGAAATCCCTGCCAAAAATCTTTGTCAATCCCGTGTTTTTTTGTATAGGAAAAAATTCCCTAATAAGAAGAGAGATAATTTATTTACTAATATTTATGCGATTATCTCTTATGCCACATGTGTACCATTCACATTGTAGCATTGAAGATGATCTAAGTACACCTATATATATTGTGAGCTCTTGAGAAAATTTGTTATCTTTTACTTGATAATTACTTCTATTTTAAGAACTGAATTTTCCCATTAATTAACATCCATATTCACCAAAACGTACACTAATAATTAAAATTAGAGACTTAAGTATCAACAAAATATTTTGTACCCGACAAAGTTTCACCAGCCTCAACGTTTTTATAACCCCATTTGCAAGCCATGTTTATACTTTCTGCAGCATACCTACAAATGCATCATCATGGATCGCATGTAATTACATCCTAATTAGTCCCAACGAAAAGTGTGACTCGATCTATCAACACTTAATTTGTTGGAATTTTATATTTTATAACACATTATAATAATATAATAATTATTCTATATTTAGGGCTAATATTTTTGAATTGGGTTGACATTCGAACCCGTAACCTCCCCTAGCAGGGATGTCATAGTAATCTCATCGATCAGACGACAAGATATTTGACTATCAATAATTCTTATGACTTATGTGATGAAAAAATTTCATGTCTTCCTCATAAAACTTTGAGTGTGCTTCGTCATTAAACATAAAATAGAATAGGGATTATGCTGAGAAAATAAACATTTGAGGATGACTACTAAATGAGCGAATGCTACATTTTCTAACTAATAAACGATACGGAGTATGTTGTACCTAGAATGTATATGATTGATCCATGTCATTATTTCATGATTATTTATATTTGAACTACTAAACAGTGCTAAATAGGGTACGTGTACACAATATATACCGAGTACCTCGAGGGTAATTAGAGTTTTCCAATTGTTAGTCTTAATTGATAAAGTCTAGCTCTTGGAGCTAAAATGGGAGCAAAAAACTTTTCCTTGGATTTATGGAATGCTAAATTGATGGATCAAACTTGTTCAAAGATAGAGCAATTTTAAATTAAATCAAAATTGAGAGACATAATATAATAGGGATAACTCACTTATTCACGCAAGAGACCTGATCATCGCATTCCTTCCACGACTCAATCTCATCCGTCCATATGCCCTGACCATATATATACATATGAAAGCGTAGAGCTAAAATCGCATTTGTAAATTAAGCATGCAGTCATTTTAATAATTACGTTATTAGTTTCTTAACAATGAAAGTTTAACTCAATCGTATGATTCGTATCAGTTCAACTCATATTAGCTTAATTGCTTATTTGCAAGCAATTGTTAATGCATTATAGCAATGGGTAATACACAAACTTTTAAAACCACTTTTCAGTCAACCTTACTTTTGTTAATGCATTATAGCAATGGGTAATACACAAACTTTTAAAACCACTTTTCAGTCAACCTTAATTTTCATTCAAGACGCATAAGAGAAGGTTTAAAAAAAAGGATGGGTGTCCCTGAGGGGCCCCCAATCCCGCTCGGACGGTACGTTGAGAGAATGTAAATTGGACTATAATCCCAATCTGACAGATAGAGAGTGGGGCTCTGTCCCTGGTACTTGTAGAGGCCCTATGCATTTTTAGCATAGTAACCCCTCATCGCAGTTGCCGGGATTCGAACCCGGAACCTAACCCTTGTGGCACTCCCTTGCTACCAGTTGAGCTACGCCCACCGGTAAAGAAGGTTTTAAAAAGCTTTGTAAGACACACACAATCAGATTTAGAAATTAGTAAAATAGACATAATTAATAGTATACCACACATTCAAACCATAGACTAGTCCATTTCAGCAGTTTTGTCCAAAAACGTTAGGACAAAACAACTATTTACCAAACAACGTTTTCTCTTATTGAAAATGCTTAAATGAGTCATTTTCCAAACACCCCATTGTCAATATAGGTTAGCCACTATTCTCTACCATAAGCAGGGGTTGAGCCAGGACACTGGGTCGGAGTGGGCTGATACAAAGATATTTTTTGGAATATTTTTTGCTCGAAATTTTTTACACTAAAAATTAAAACATTTTTTAAATTTGAGCTATGTGAGGGTCAAGGTTGACCCTTTCCTGTCTCCGCCCTGACCATAAGATTGGTACTCTGATCCATACGTAAATAAGATAGCCTTATGATAATTAACAAATGACTTACGTGGGTGAAGTTTTTTTCTATATCTTCTCGGAAAAGGTTTACATCATTGTTGTAATAGTCCTTTGCTGCGGTGAGTATAATTTCTCTGTCCCACACCTGCTTAACAATAAAAATTATGCAGTGGGTATGCTATGTTTGAATGGTTTGATACACTAGTAGGTGAGGACTAATGATGTTTTTACTTGGACTTTTTTCAGTCCCAGACCAGACTTAAATAGACCAGACTAGACCATACTTAAACAGACCTAATCAGATCAGACAAGATTTAAACAGACTAGACCAGACTTGACTTCCATAGTTATAAAATACAAGAGACCAGACGTTTACTAAACCAGACCAGACCAATTCAGACCAGAACAGATCAGACCATACTAAAAGAAATCAGACCAGACCAACAAATTACATTCCAAGTAAAAACATCCTTATGCGTACGAAACATGCACGCATACTATTGAGAATAGTTTTTCAAACAAAGATATTTTATTTTGAAAAAATAAACTCTTAAAAATTGTCATGCTAAACATACAATTAAAAGGTTTTAAAAACTTTTTAAATACGTAAAAGTACAAATATTAGAAGGTAATAACTTATGTCTACCAAATATACACGTAGTAATCGATACGTTTTCACAAAAAAATGTGAATTCAAAATCATTTTCCAGTTCTTATTGATTATACTGTATTGATGATTGGCAATCTTGTTTTTCTAATATTTCATGTAAAATAATTAGTCAAACATTAATGAAATGCATTTTATTAGATCATCAACTAGTTAATTAAGAAACAAGAAAACTTACGTGGTGCAAGTTTGATTTATGCCTAAACCAACGCAAATCTATTGTGTTTCCTCCTTCATCTGTTGTAAACCCAACATGTAGCGGCTGTGCCATAGAAGAAATACAGTATATTCTATAAAATAAATCCAAATATATAATCAAAATAAAAGTGATGAATAAAAATGTGACTATAATAACTTTAGTGCTTGTAACTATATTCAAATGTTACATTGACTATAAATGTAACACATAGTAACACTATAGTAACTTTAGATACATTTTTATTAGTAATATTTTAGAAAAAAACTCATATTTTATTACTCTGTATTGTTTATTGTATTATTTAGACAAGAGAGAAATAACATGAATTAAATTCTGGAAAATGATCAAAATAAATTTCATAGGTACATAGCATGTATTCAACCTGATGGATATCTCCCATAAAGTGTGCCAAAAATAGCAAAGCCTCCGTCATATTATCTGTTATCACACAAATTAAAGATCTAATTAATAAGTTATTAGAAAACCAAACAAAATAAAATTAGTGGCTTTGCTATTTTTCTAGCTCAGCTGATTGCGAGATTACGCCTAGTGAGAAGTCTTGAGTTCGATATCTGCAGGCTCCCAGTCCCCTCCCCAGACCCCCTCGGAGTAAAAAAAATCATCATACTAACATATGGTGTTTAATTTCTTACATCGACGATCGGATGTTCCTTCTCTGTAGTGAGAAAGCTGATTTGTGAAGTTTTGGATTGCCCCGGCAACACACATATCCATCATTCCATGTTGGTCATGGCAGTCTCCTTCAAAAACATAATATATTTTTTTATTCATATGGGGAATGTGACTTTACACCCGATATTTTGAACAATATTTATTTTAAATTGCACTTTTAGAAAAATAAATGTGTGCACCCCATCCTGCTTGTAAAAAATCTATGGGATCTACATTAATTAACTTTTTCGAAATTACCTCCTTGAATAGGAGTAATCTGCCAAGTTTGGAAAAAAATATCATGTTTAAAAGTCTAGTAATGCCAAACTTGGCAGAAATTTAATCCTATTTTGGGAACAAAAAACATGATACTCCTATTTCAGAATTTCAAAACTTTTTTACTCCTAACTTTTTAAAAAGGGAAATTTACTAGGATATGACTAAAACTCAATGAGTAGAAGATCAGCGTTTTATAGGATATTCTAAAGGGTATATTAGACCATGAAATTAATTTATTTATTTATTAATTACGAAATTAATTAAAAAATAGAAATTTAAATATTATTTTGGGAATAAAACTAGTTAAATCATAGATTGAGAAACTCATGTTGTTTTAGTCATACCCACAGTAATTTTCTCTTTAAAATAAGGTACAAAGTCTTATTTGTCGTTAAGTTATAAAATTTGAGTTTTCCCCCATTCATCATTACATTTAAGAAATTGAATATGAAAAGTATTTTGTTCTTAAACTACCGGAAGGCTCTAATAAAAGATGTTAAATCTAATAGGGTAACTAGCCGATCGAACCACACAGCTCTTCCAATTAATCTCATATATGATTCCTCTGTTTTTTAAACTTCAAAGTTGAGTACTACTAACATTGATATTTTTTCCCTTAAATTACATAAAGGCTCTAAAAGATGTTGCTACTTTGTTCTCGTAATTTATGAAAATATTCATTATTAATTGCAATTTTGTGATTGTACTCGCTTGCACTCATGCACATTGTGCCCTGTCAATAATAATTTTCTCAATTTATGAATTTTCCTATAGAATTTACAAGTTTCTTGATCTGGCCTGTGGCTCCAATGCACATTTTGTGTACACCCACTTTCCTATGAACTTTTCTATAGAAAATCTCCACTTAGTTGTCTGTGTACATAGTCAATTTTTGAACTAATCGTCCGTATACACAGCCAGTTAGGAGGAGTGTACACAAAATGTGTACAAATTATGTATACCGACAGTTTTTTCGGTTGAATCAGACTTGGGGTACACACTTTGTGTACACACTCTTACGCACTCATGTTTATGAGATGTTTTTTTATGTTTATTCCAGACAAAACGTATTTGACATGAGTTCCAATTACGAAATCAAACAAGCATTTTTTTAATTGATTAGAAGAAAAAGTAGACAGATATGTTAGCTTACTTTGATAATTAAAGTTGCAAGCTTGATCGGGAGTATCGATGAAATGAAGTGGGCTAGTCCACCGGTATTTGTACCAGTGCCTCACTTGGTCCGGCCATACACACAGCTCCGACAAGTCGCCGTCAACGTATTCCGGCAATAACATCCTCACTGTATGAGCTGCCTCATTATTCAGAAGACCCTTCAAAGTTGTTACTTACTCTGTTATTCGGTTTTTCTCAAACAATTCATAGGAACTTTTCTCAACTTTTATTTTGTCATCAAAATTCACCCTCATATCATACGAATATTTTGACTATATGACATGAGGCTCTTACTTGGATTAAGCATCTACTTTGGGAAGATAAGATTGGGTTAGAAACTACTAGATTTTAATTCTTTTGTTGATTTTGTCTTTTCCGATTTATCCAAAAAAAGAAGAGATATTATCCGAAATATGACTAAAACAGTTTGAAAATTTCAAAATAGGGTTGACATGTTTTATTCTCAAAATAGGACTAATTACTGCCATGTTTTGACAGTACCAGACTTCAAACATGACAGTGTTTTCTAAACATGACAGTAATTAGTCCTATTTTGGGAATAAAATATATGACAGTCCTATTTTGGAATTTTGAAGCTGTTTTAGTCCTATTTCGAAAACTTTCCCAAAAAAGAATCATCCTCACAACTCCGAGAGACGTTCAATTACTCTTACTTGGTATGATCTATTTATTTGGACTGATATTTTATGAATTGAATGGTGTGATTTGTTTAAATCTGATCTAATTCAGTAGTCGTCTGAGCTTGTCTAAGTGATCTAGTTTGAGCAAGGATTGAAACCATCTAACTAAAAACATCTTTCATTAGGTATAAAATAAAACACAAAATAATCAATATCTTTTGGATGTAATTAATTAAGAAGTAAGAAAATTTATCGATGGACGAAAGGAAGTGAAGTAATAGTAAATTTTCATAAAAGAAAGTGACACAAGTAAAAGTAATTGAACACAAGCTATTAAATAACACAAGCTATATGTATGTGATCAAGATTATTTGAATGGATAAATGACATAAATCACAGATCACACATTAGTTTTATTAGAGGAAATGAGTAATAAAGTTTAGACACAATAAAAAGTGGGAAAGATGAAGCATGTAAGAGCGAGCTTTGTAATAGTTCTATATAAAGTTACTTTTAAGAGTGAATACTTTTTGTATGCACGCCTATTTACATAGATAATTGATGATTTTTTTAAAACGAATCGATTGTGTATACAGGAAACTAAAGAATACGTGTGCACATAAAAAGTGTACACTTTTTGTGTACTAGTTTTTCTTCTATATAAGATTGAACTGAATATAATATAATTTGAAGTAAATAAATAAATAAATAATGGATATACCTGTGCAAGGCGACATGTCATCATATGCCCCTCCTTACTCCATGCCTCAACTCCTGCAAGCTCACCAATGAAACCAAGAAAGAGGAAGCAAATTATACAAGCCAATGACGAACTAAATCTTGACATTTTTTATTTTCTTGTTAAGATTGAGTTGATGATTTATTATTGGGTTTTTAATTTGGAAAGCTGGTTTTAGAGAGAAAGAGCTGCCCCCATATTGTCGGGTACATCCATTACAATATATATAGAGGAACTATGCATAAATAATTAAAAAAGGATTCTCATTGTGTGCACGTTTTGTACAGGGCGGTTCTCCCCGTGTTAATTAAGCAGCTAGATAGCTTGTTAAGGCAAGCAATGTGTAACAAATAGGACGGCATGCCACATTGATTTACTTTGAGTTAAGTAATCACCCACCCATTGAGAGCATAGTGCGTGTCCCTTTTATTTGCCAAACATGGCCAATGATATTATTGGCGTCATAACATGACAGTAATTACTTTAATTTAGAGAATAAAAATTTAGTAGTTTCATTTTAGTATTCATAAACGTTTTTTTATCCTATTTAGAGATTTTCTTCTTTTTTTATCAGGATACCTACCAATGACCTCGTCAAATTATACAGTCACCGTCTGCTATATTCGTCACTAAATACCTCCTACAATTGTACCTAGTGGCCTGTTTGGATGTGGTGTTGAAAGATGTTAGTAATGGAAGTGTTGAAAAGGGTGTTGGTCTTAACACTTGTTTGGGAGATTTTTTTTAAATGTAGTGTTAGTAAGTGTTTAAAAGTGTTAGAGAAAACCTCCCTAACACGGTGATTTTTTTAAAGGTAGATTCTATGGTACCCTTAAGGTCCGTACCTTTGTCCATATGTACCAATCAGAATGATGTAGTTGAATTATTTAAATCTAAATTAAAAATGATGTAATGATTTGAACCAATTAAATGAGTGGCAGGTACGGTACCCCATTTTTTAAATGAGTATAGGAGTTGTCACCTTTTTTAAAGGTAGATTCTATGGTACCCTTAAGGTACCATACCTTTGTCTACATGGACCAATGAAAATGTAGCAGTTGAATTATTTAAATCTAAATTAAAAATGATAAAGTAATGTGATCCAATCAAATGAATGATAGGTATGGTATCTCATTTTTTAGAAAAGTACGAGAGTTGTCACCTTTTTAAAACTCCAGATTAGAGTGTTTTGGAGTACTGGACAAATCTTGCCCCTCTCATTATTGAGCAATGAGTGGTGGTTTTTCTTAGAGAACACACAATACACACGCAGAAGAAATTACCTTCAATAAAAGAAAAAAGGATCTAAAGACTAAAGGGAATACAAGAATTGCCGCACAATTCTTGGCGTAAGGGGGACTTGAACCTCTATTTGAAAAGTCATACGGAGTATACAATAGGCATTAAAGGGGGTGCGGCATATGCTCTTTGGGGCATCACTCCTACACATGTACGGTTTTTGTTCTCACATAGGAGAATAGCGAGAGTAAAGAAAGTGTCCAAAATGATGTGAAAATATACTTTAATTAAATAGTGGTAATAATGTCCGCCCCAAAATGTAGGAGACGACATAAAATCAAACCGAATCAATACCTATCAGCCTGCGAGTGCTCGTAATGATATGAAATCGAATAATAAGTATTTACCAAAATTTAAGTCATCCCAAACTGAAATCGTACCATTTGAAACAGATATGAGAACGTTTTTGAATTTTGAGTATAGAATGATACTGAATTGGGCCGATCTAAATTGATACATCTAGGATCTAATATATATTTTGTCCCAATAAAACTCTTGCTCAACCCTACATTTTTAAATTTTATACCCCAATAATACTTTATTTTTCATGTTTCTACACAGGCTATTTTAAAATAGCCTTTGACCTCTATATAAACGTACGAATGTAATGTAACTATGTAAAGCATAACAATTCATTATTAAAGTTTTATATTATAATAATAAAAGTGTTCAACGAAATATTTTAAAATCTTCATCTAAAATAAATTCTCCTTGCGCATTTATAAATAAAGCATCTATCATTTTGTTTTTTTATTTTCTTACATTCTTTTATAAGCAATTTATCAAGAGCTTAGAGATAGTACCCATTCCTTAAAGTCTTCCTTTCTTTTACGCCTCCCATAATTTAGATGAATATTTTTTGGAATTAGGATATTAAGTATCAACGGGTTCCTATCCTATACACATCCCTTTTATCAAATTTTAATTTAATAATTTTACCCAAACACTTTGTTAAGGATAATGCTGATTAATAAATACTAGTACTACGTATTACACTAAGGATAATGTTGACTATATAATAATAGGGTTGGACTCGGGTCCGGGCCGGGTCCGGGTCGGGCCTAGGCCCGGGCGGGCCGGCAGGTCAGAAATGGTGGACCCGGGACCGGCCCGGGTAACCACCGGGTCCGGGCCGGGCCGGGCCGGGCCCATTATAATTTTTTTTTTTGTTTTCCTCTTCCTAAGTAACCCCCCTCCCACCCCCAACCCCCAAACCACCCCAAATGGCCCAAAATACCCAGCCCAACCCAAAACTTTAAAAAAAATTGCAAAAAAAAAAAAAAATGTTTTTGGCCCGAACCGGGCCCGGGCCCGGCCGGGTCGGGCCTTGTTTTGGGTGACCCGAGCCCGGACCGGAAAACCCACGGGCCGGGCCTACCCGGACCGGTCACTGACCGGGCCACCGGGCCGGGCCGGGCCGGAACAGTACCGGTCCCGGGCCGGTTCCGGGTCGGGCCACCCGGCCCGAGTCCATACCTATATAATAATGGTTTTAAATTACTTTAATCACATAACTCAGTAACTCACTTGAGTCACTTCAGCAATTTCAGATAGAGCTCTATCTCCAGATGTGCAACTCTCCTATAATACAAATGTCCAATATGTGTCTAGGAAACTCTTTAATTGAGTGAGAATCTACTTTAATATTAAGTCCTACATGGTCACAGCACCACACATCATGATTTATTTTCCTTGTATTCTCTGCACTGATCATGTCATCCACACTGTATATTATCATCATTTCAAACTAGCATATTTTTATTCAACACACAGAACCTAGAGTGTTACAAATAGTTTGTATACAAATTGAAGACTAACTAAATCAGTACAACCTTACAGCATCAGTTTTGAACCTTCAAATGAAAACAGCTTTAGTGCATTTGAAAAGCTTGCTTCTGCAAGTTGATCACTGCTCATATCAAGTAAAGCCGCCACATAGTCAAGTATGACATTAATGTTACCCGGGTGGTTTAGCCTTTGTTCGCCTTCTCCTACTAAAACCAAAGCATCTTCTGGATAGCCCGTTTGGGGAAACCCATCGGGTGCATCGGTCTCTAACAAAATCCTATCCATAGGAACTGATCTTATCATCTTCTTTGCCTTGTTCTCTTTCAATGACATCAAAAACCCAGAGAATGAGAAGTAAGCACCTAGCTTCGCAAATTCAGGGACCATTTCGGCAGAACCGAGGAAAGAATGAAGAACGATTCCACAAGGGAAGGGACCCACAGATTTAAGGATATCGAGAAGATCCCCATAAGCACGAACACAATGTATGGAAACAGGTCTTTTGAAGTCTTTTGCAAGATGGAGTTGCTGGCGGAAGACTTCGACCTGATCGGAAAAATCAATTTTCTTACCGAATGATCCTTTGTCCAAACCAATCTCGCCAACTGCAGCTTCGGGTGTCGCCTCTAAGTGATCCTTTAGTGTACCTAGCCAATTAGGACTCCTACCAGTGATGAACCAAGGGTGGAGCCCAAAATTTGGAACCACACTGGGGTAGTCTATGCTCATCTCCTTGACGGTTTGCCAATCCTTCTCCGACACACCATTCACTGCAAAATGAACCACTCCTCTGTCAAGGGCGCTCCTAATTATTTGTGGAAGCATGTGAAGGATCTTTGGATCTTGGAGATGACAATGTGCGTCAAAAAGTTTCATTTTTTCATGTGTTGTCTCTTTCTCTTGTTTGTGTAACAGCAGGAACACTGAAAAGAGAGAATAATAAAAACTGATTATAGTCAATATGAGCGATAGTACATTGCAGAAACAGCCAAAGAGATATGCAAGGGCACAATAAATCTCTCATTAGCCTATTTATATAGGATATTCACTGTTTCAAAAATTATAAGAATGAAAGAAAGAGGTTGATAAATGAAGCAAAATAGCTCACTAAACTATATGCGCTTCTTTGTATAAAGCAACAATCAGTCCATGCAATTTTCAACGCAATTTTCACTATGGGTCATCCGGAAACAATCTATGCGCACTTCAAAAACAGGGGTAAGTCTACGTACATCCAACCCCCCCCCCCCTACCCCACTGAAGGTGGGAGCCTTTGCGGCACTGGGTAATGACAACGAATGATGATGAAAGAAAGAGGTTGATGTCTCAATATTGGATGTTCAGACTGTTTCAAATCAATACAGAACACATTTAGGTCAGGTTTAAAGATTTCAAACCGAAGATCCAGTAGTCTAGCTAGATCTTGAAACATTTATAGGGGCCAAAGTGTCATATTGGGAAATAAGGAGAATGCTTTTATAGATCATTTTGTACACACACTAAAATAATTACCAGGATTAGACAGTTCCTCATCTTATTTATTTTAGACAGTGAAACGCAGAGACACTAAACTTTGGTTTAATCTGCTCAAAAGCCATTTTCCTACTTTAAATAATCACAACAATGAGACAAATAAATGCTAAACTACTTAAAAGATAACACTAGGTCGATGAAGAGAGTCATAATGAGGAGCTCAAAATAAGAAAGGAGAGCATTTGAGGTTGATAAAGAGAAGCTGGCATACTTGAACAACAAAGCCCATCTATTTCTTTGAGTTCCTGATGAAATATATGGTCATGTATTCAACAAAGCGTGTTTAACTTTTAAGTTCTCGGGGTCCGGTAGAAGCCCCTCTGACTTAGGGGCAGACAGGAAATTTGAGAAGGAATGGTGAGCTGTAAGGAAAAGTTTGAATCTTACATTAGGTATAACTATAAGAGAAAGACCTTCGAAGTAAATATCACTCGAGTCCACTCTGCCCGATTCTTGTTATTTGTGCTTCAAAGAAACCACCAATGCAAACATAGAATAATGATATAGCTGCATCAGGTCCTCTCATAACCTTAAATAAAACATACCAAGCAAATTCTGGAACAAACTAAATTCAAATGGGTAGTCCAGAATCATACATTCATACATGTATGTTGGAAGCTAACCAAATGCTTCCATAGCATTTATAGTGTGCCTCGTGAAGCATACTTTCTTACAAAGATAGATCTAAAATATCCAAATATGACCCGAAACCCCTTAATTTGGATTCCTAAAAAACCAGGTCAAGTTAGGGATAGAAGTGTTTTAAACCCTATCTCCACCATACCTCAATTTCAAGCTAAATAGACAATCAAACTCACAAAAGCACCGCACTATGCAGATATAAATACCAGATTTATACTTTAATGGAAATTGGAATCGATAAGAGCATCTACGATACGCATATGTGCAGGAACAGGGGGTGATTAAGGACTAAGGAGGGTACCTTTGCAACCAGGGCAAGTCTAAAAGACTTTTGCAACCATAGATTCCAATAAAGGCTACCTTTGGTTAATGGCGGATTGGCTTCAATCCGTCGTTTTCTCCGAATGAAAACGTTACATTTTGCTGCGGTTTGCTCTGAATCCGCCAAAAAACAAACAGGGTCTTTAAAGAGGCAGATTGAGCTAAATATGAAAAATAAAAAAATGTGTATAGATAGCCGGACATTATCGGGTCAAATACTAGGCGAGCATGACTTTCTAATAAATTTGGAGCCCCGGTTTCAAATGCAAATTTATGACCGCACATTAATATAAAAAATAAAACATATTTTCAATCTAAATATTTATACTCAAATCTAGGGGTAGGAAAAACCGAACCGAAACCCGGAAACCGACTCTAGCCCGGCCCGAATGATATTCCCGATTCGGGGTTTTTCCTATTTAACCGGCCCGAATAAAAAAATCTGGACCGAACCCGAAAGTTCGGGCTCATAAGCGGGCCCTAAAATCTATAACCCAGCCCGGATCGATAAAAAACCGAAACAATTAGCTTTAATATAAAATCAATATATTATACAAATATAATATATAAATAATTCCTAATATATGGTTATAATCACGGTGGATGAAAACATGATCTAGTAACTTTTAGTGACTAAAAATATGTTCAATTTGTTTACCATAATGACCATGGAAATATATTTATTAAAGCAAATTTAGTCACTTTTTATCCACAAGTTTTATTTCGTAATATTTTTAGAAAACCTATATTATTTATTTATATGCATCTTAAACAAAACATTAAGATAATTATCTTCTTTGAATTTGAATTGTTGGTGATTTTGGAGACTAATATTTGTGTTATTATTTGCGGCTTGTGTTTTTGATTAGTTTTATTTAAAAACAGGTTTTAAAATATAAAAAAGACAATGATACGATTTCACATTCGGGCTTTAACCGGGCCAACCGAACCCGGTCTATCAAAAACCCGACTCGGACCAAACACAATGGGCTTTGTTCCGGTCCTTAATTTTCATAACCCGAGACCTTCTGGGTAATTTCCGGGTTTAGCAAAAATCCGACCCAGACTGGACCAATCTCACCCCTACTCAAATTAATTGAATACTAATTAAACCGCGCAAATTCCAGGTATGTGTGAATACTAAATATTTTCAATCGAAATATTTATACTCAAAAATGCTTGAAACTTTGTAGAGATTATTTTAATTTTAACTTTGGGGAACATATAATGATGATTATTAATAGAAATCTAAAAGTTCTTTGACACCTTAAGCCTCCCATGCTTCATGTAGGCTTTAGGTTTAAGGCTTAGAGTGAGTTTAACATTGGAGTTGGTTAAAAGAGATGGTTTTGTTAAAATTGATGAGTTCCGAAAGTTGCTCAATTGGTTGAATATATCGCATTATAAAAATATTTAAAATATACTTTTATTTTATTCATAAAATAAAGAAAAAAATTATATCAAAAGTAGCTAAAATGGTCTTGTATTTCAGGCAGAAAATCATCTTTAATCTCACTTATTTTTATTATTACACTATTCAAGCTATCAAAATCAAAAGTATCGTGTTTGGTGAAAAGTTAACAGATAAAACTGACCAGTTGAAAATCCTGGTGAAAAGGGCTCTTAGGGGTTGTTTACTTTTTTCTATTAAGTCATGTATGGATTAAGACGTTTGTTTGTATTAAGTGATGTTTGTGTATGAAACTGTTTATTTTGTGTGCTGAATAAACCATCAGAATAGAGTAAATTAATCAGTTTAATATTATTAATAAGTTATATTGACAATGAATAATTGTGCGACTAGGGTTTGTATGACTATTTCCATTTCTGTTTTATTTTGTTTGTGCTTTTACTTCGAACTACATGTTTTGTTTGTCATATACGCTTACTTTTGTCAGACTCTTTCATTAGGTTGGGGCGATGATGGGTTTACTCTAACCACGTTAGGCTCATTTAGATCCATTACATGATCAACGAGCCATATTGTTTTTTCTGGGTGATTGGCTCTAAGTCTGGTTCGAGGGTTTGTGATTGGAAGTGGTCATTTTATCTTCTTGTTCTCTTGTTGAATGCTTTGATATCAATTTAAGCCGCCTTGTTAAAAAACATATATCTATTCCATATTAGGTATAAAAAAACTGACTGAATAAACGTCTTAATGTGTCTTAATGGAAATGAGTTTCTTTTCACAGCTTAATGATTAAGTCAGTTTTTTGACGGATTGAAGAATTCGTGTTTGCAATTAAATTTAAAGTAAACATGACTTTAATGACTAAACGAGTAAGCCGTCTTTCTCATTGAGTCCATAAGTCACAAGTAAACTGTCTCTTAATCTTAATGCTTTTAAGACATGAAACATTTAAGACCGCCAGTTCAATTTTATGTAAAATAAACAATCATGATCAAATAAATCACTTATATCTGGAGTATAATCAAAATATAATGTAACATGACTAACATCATACTAACAAGTACTCATTCCAATAAAAAGTACATTTATGTAATTAGAAATGTCACAAATAGTCTTGCTTCATAAGTTTATTTTCAAAAGGCATGTTAATAGTTTTTTTTGTAGTATTATACGAATTCAAACTAGTGGCGGGCGGCCCCGCGTTATGGTTCAGAACTTGAGAAGTTGTTTTCAGAGTCTGAATCTTCCCGCAACGCAGATCAATCATCATTCTTTATTCCATCGCCTCCTTTTCTTTTCCTATCTCTATTGATTAACAGAGAGAATCTTCTGCAATCTAACTTTGGGTGGGCTTAAACTATGAACGGCAAGGCTAGTGTTTCCAAAGAGCTTGATTCAAAGCACGCCAAGGTCAGCGCTACTCTTCTTCCTTTGATTTTTTTAGTTTTTTCTTTTCTTTTCATTACTTTTCCTCTAACCAATCACCCAATTGATTACGCATTGAAATTCCGAACCTCAATTTTATTGAAAGGATGTAATTTATTAATTGAATTGGTGGAAGATTACTTTTTGTCTTCTTTTACTATATATTTTAAATTATTTCTTATTGCATTTATTTATAATCAGTGGAGTTACTGGATGGAGAGTTAAACAATATTGGAAAATGTGGTTTGTACACGCCAAGTTTTACACGTCATACAATTCGACGGGCGTGTAAAATGGCGTGTACAATAAACGTGTACACGAAGCATGATCGAACAATATTACCCCTAGTCCAAAAGTTCAAAATTGACCTTTTTGGAGTAGAAGTAAAACCACCTTTCCTTCTAAAACCAGCCCAAACTCTGATTTCTGTTATCTTAAATGTATTTGTATTAAGATAAAAGCCATACTAAACACACTTTTTGTTGGAATTTATTGAGAAATATAGCTCAAGTGTTCAACATGTGTGATCCTTAAGTAATATTTTTAATTAAATAATGAGAATTTTTGAAATATTATTATTATAGATTTACATGGGAACATTTATTATTATTATTATTATTATTATTATTATTACTTATAAGTAATAGTGGTCCTAATTTTATTTATAATAATAAATGTTACGTACTTAATATATGCACATGTGCAAATTTACATATGTATATGTTTATTACAAATGAAGGATCGTGTCTTTTTCTTTATGACCAGCCGGCTGTGCACTTTCGTAATGTTTCAATTTTAATGAAACGATAATTACATCTTTTAGAAAAGACACCATTTAAATTATAAATATGGATCATGTTGAATTGTTAAGGCAGCATAGATCGATCAAATTGTGTACTTGCCTTTACTTTATTTTATTGTCTGCAGCGATAGAATTAAAGTACTTAGACTACTTAATATACAATCACTTGTTCGGTGTTATTTTATCGGTAACTAAAATACACCATACATCTTCTTTTTATCCCAAAAGTTCTATCTTGTAACCCGGTTACTGTGATAAGGGTAGATAGTAAACTTTTAGGAAAGCGTATTTTACGTGACTAGAAGTGATATCCGGTCCAGCCATATTTCTACACCCTTATATTTTACTAATTTTATCCTCCGGTTCTAACACTTTTGAACTTACGATTGGAGCTGATAGCAATCTCCTTCAATTCTTCAAACTATACTGAACTTGACATTTTACTATGCTTCATGTTTGTTTGGAGACAGTAAAAAATACAATAATTCATGCATCCTTATAATTCTCACAGACACTTGAGGGGCTACTTAAATTGCCAGAGAACAAGGAATGTGCTGATTGCAAGAGCAAGTACGTGATTAGTTAGCTTATACACCTTCAATGGAAAAAAGAGTTCTTAATAAAGGTCACATTTATATGATTTATATGCCTTCAATAAATGTACAGAGGTCCCAGATGGGCTAGTGTGAACCTCGGAATCTTCATTTGCTTGCGTTGTTCTGGCATTCACAGAGGCCTCGGAGTACATCTCTCAAAGGTCCATCCCTTTTCTTCTCATGGTTCTACTTCATCAATGACTTTCAAGTTTTTAAAATTTGATAACAATTCGTATTTGTATCGAGGTCACTCTATTGTGTGTCATAATTTACAAGGATCAAACGACACCGAAAGAATGAACTCAATCCTAATACATGGATCAAACTCATAAAGTCATGTTTATTACTCCATAGTTTATATTATGACGTGGAATTTCCTAGTAAAAGTTGATATTGTTTGAAAAGAGAAGTGATTTTTAAAAAGTACAGGTTAAAGTGTTTGTGAAAAAGTACTTTTTGTATAATGAAAAGGCGAAAGGCAGTTTAAAACACTCCTCATACTCCTCCTACTTTAATATTTTTGTTTTAAAGTGGTCAATTTAAGCAGAAACGTCTTTTGAAAACACTTCTTTTAGCTGTTTTATGTTTGTCCAAACACTCCTTAACTAGTGTGAAAATGGCTTGCCCCTCAAGAAGGCATCTGGTTGGACCAAACTAGTCTTTATTTTAGTGTGCTAGTTGTTGAGGTTTATCAAAGTTGAATTACTAGTTTGCGCTTCAGCGGTTACTAATTACTTATGGGATATTGCTTAAAAGTTTATGCATCTTCTGTTACCAGGTGAGGTCTGTCACTTTAGATACATGGCTTCCGGAGCAGGTTGCATTTATCAAATGTATGTAAGACCAATTGGTAATAACTTTACACAAATATTCGTATAGTGAATAAACCCATAAATAGCATGATATAATTCTTAATTTCAGCAACTGGAAATGATAAATCAAATTGCTATTGGGAAGCTGAACTGCCACCAAAGTATAACAGAGTTGGGATTGAAAAGTTTATTTGTGCAAAGTATGACATCAGACTCATTGGTATTTGGTAGCTCCAGTGTCAAGTTTGCTAGATTATGGCTTCTCCTTTTTCCCATTTTGTGCATAATACTGAATGAATTTGTTAGGTATGTGGAAAAAAGATGGGTTCCAAGAAAAGTTGATAGACTGGAGCCTAAGCTAGAAGCTGATGAAAACCTAAAACCATCTTCCTTGGATGTTAAAAAGGAAAAGCTAAACTGGATTACGTTTGACACTGATATGGAAAATCCAAGTTCCAGTTTTTCAGGAGTATCAATCCTTGATCCCAAACCAAACATCATTAAAGGTATAAAATTGCCATCCTATGAGTCCAAGAAGCCAAACACTAGAAATGATATCCAACCAGTCTTCTCAGCACCTAGAGTTGATTATGCTACTCAACTTTTTGATATGCTCTTCAAGGAGGAGACTAAAGAAAATATCAAGAAAGCATCTGTACTTCCAGAGGAAACTGAATGTAAATTTGCGATAAAATAATTGCGCTGACATTCTGAAATCTTGGTTTTAACTTTTAACATTGACTGTCCAAGTACCTTCAGGTGCAGGACAAACACCACTTATGAAGAAGAATGTTTCCTCCACCATCACACGAAGTAAAAATAAATTTGATCCCGGGATTGAAGAACTTATTAAAGATTTCAGTCCTGTCACAGAGATATCCTTGAATGCTGTGCAGAACGACATGTCATACCCCTTTGTCAAGGTTTTCTTGAATATAGTTCTTTGCTAATTACATTTTATATTCCTTGTTATTAAAATTGCGACACGAAGGGAATCTGGTTTAAATTTAGTGCCACTGAACCCATCTAGTTGGGATTAAGGTTCTGATAGTGATAATGATGAAACGCCTTGCACAAGTTAGGAAAAAATCTGTTTGTACACTTCATTTATACGATTTTATACAAGCCCCTAGTTGTGTGTACAGAAACAATTCGTAAAGAAAAGGTAGAACTTTCGAAGCAGTTCTCAAGTAAAGATCAGTAGGAAATTTATATATCACTTCTTACTTTCCCTTCCAATTCAAAAAGCATCAAATTGCTAATCTCATCATTTTTCGTTCCGGGTTGGAAATGTTCACCCTTCACTTGTTACGGTTCCTAGGGTTTCTTATCCAAAATCCAGGTATTGAAAGTAAAACTTTTAGTTTTAATACAGATGTTGGGCATAAACTGGTATGTGTTACTATTAAGTAAAAACTATTTCGTCCAAAAAGTCAAAATCTACATATTTTGCTTCTAAGCAGGATAAGAAGAATAATATTTTAAGGTTTTTTTTCAAAAAGATTACTAAAATAAAATCTATTTACATAAATGTGACTAATAGTTACTACTGTTGGGAATAACAGGATCGTGCTAATATGAGAGAAAAACACTTCTATTACTTTCAAGAATAGAAAGAAGAGACATACAAGCTCTAATTAAAAACTCTCAAAACAACACCTCACATATCTCTCAAGGATATTCACAACTCTTCTTGGTTGTGCTATGATGATCTATTCTAATTTACTTGATGATAGAAAGACTCTCCAAGCTCTCTATTTATAGCACCAAAACTAGGTACTATGAAGGTGGGAGGAAGGTGGGATTAAACATGAGGAAACTTTGAGGAAGCTCCCTTTGTCATTCTAGCACATGGATGAAGCTTCATGGTTGTTGCTTGCACATGGAGGAAACTTCATGGTTGTTGCAATTGGATTCTTCAATTTGCTTGTACTTGGATATGTCCTGGAAATTGAATTCTTCAATTATCCCCTTCCAGGCATATTCAAAACAAGCATCCCGACTATGTCTCTGCATAGCTCTAGCTTATCTCGTGTCACCACCTTTGTCAGCATGTCTGATGGATTCTCCTTTGTATTGATCTTCACTAGTCTCAACAGTTGTTGATCAATCGTCTCCCGTATCCAATGATACCGAATATCAATATGTTTTGTACGAGAATGGTACATAGAGTTCTTGCTCAAGTCTAGAGCACTCTGACTGTCACAATGTACCTGGTACTCTTTCTGGTGGATCCCAAGTTCTTGGAGAAAGCGCTTTAGCCACAACATTTCCTTACCTGCTTCAGCGGCAACAATGTATACTGCTTCTGTTGTAGATAAAGCGACACACTTCTGCAATCTTGATTGCCAAGAAACAGCTCCCCCTGCAAAAGTGTAGATATATCCTGTAGTAGACTTTCTACTATCAATATCTGTGTAGCCTTCCAAGTTTGGATCAGCTCCTCCGTAACAAAGACATAACTTCGTGGTACCTTTCAAGTATCTGAGAATCCATTTGACTGCCTCCCAATGCTCCTTCCCAGGGTTAGAGAGAAAACGACTTACTGTACCCACTGCTTGTGCGATGTCTGGCCTTGTGCATACCATGGCGTACATCAAACTCCCAACTGCCGAAGAATATGGAATTGCTAACATCTCCCCGATCTCTTCCTTGGATGTAAGGCATGTTCTTTTGCTCAACTTGAAGTGATTCGCAAGTGGAACACTAACTGGTTTGGCATCATTCATGTTGAATCTCTCAAGTACTCGTTCAATGTACTTCTCTTGAGAAAGCCATAACTTGCGATTCTTCCTGTCTCGAGTGATCTGCATCCCAAGAATCTGTTGAGCCGGTCCTAAGTCTTTCATATCAAAAGACTTAGAGAGTTCTTTCTTCAGCTGGTTTATCATCACTGCATCTTTCCCAACGATCAACATGTCGTCTACATATAGTAGAAGAGCAATGAAAGTACCGTCTGGGAGTTTCTTGATGTATACACACTCATCTGCAGTAGTCTTCTTGTAGCCTTGACTCTTCATGCATGAGTCAAACTTCTTATTCCACTGCCTTGGTGCCTGCTTCAAGCCATACAAACTTTTAGATAACTTACACACAAAGTTATCATTTGAGCTCTCAAAACCTTCCGGCTGCTGCATATAGATTTCTTCTTTCAAATCTCCGTGAAGAAATGCTGTCTTCACATCCATCTGTTCAAGCTCCAAGTTCATACTTGCTGCCAAGCCAAGTATAACTCGGATTGAGGTCATCTTGACAACTGGTGCAAAGATCTCATCAAAGTCAATTCCCTTCTTCTGTTGGAATCCTTTGACAACCAACCGAGCTTTGTGTTTCACCACTTGTCCGCTTGCATCCTTCTTCAGCTTGAACACCCATTTGTTCCTCAGTGCCTTCTTCCCTTTAGGAAGTTCTACAATCTCATAAGTTTGATTTTTCTGCAGAGATTCTAACTCATCCTGCATTGCTATTAGCCATTTTTCTTTATCCTTATGAGACACAGCTTCTTGAAAACTCTCTGGTTCTCCATCTTCAGTTAACAAAAGATATTCAGATGATGTGTACCTTTTCGATGGTATATGGCCTCGTTCAGATCTACGAACAGTTGGAACCATCTCAGAAGAGCTACCATCATCTGTGTCTGGCGAGGTGGGTTGTGACTCCCCTTGCTCTGTACTCTCTTCTGTCTCCTCATCCTCTTCTGCTTCTCAGTTGTTTTCATGCACTTCGTCATTGTTTCTCAAGAACAATTCAGGTGCTTCATTTGAAACTTGAACACCCTCATTTGACTTCCGAGACAATGTGGATTTTTCAATGTCTTCTATTGTCAAATCTTCATGGAACACAACGTCCCTGCTTCTGAACACCTTTTTCTCCTTAGGATCCCATAACCTGTATCCAAACTCTTCATTTCCATAGCCAACGAAAATGCATGGGATAGTTCTTGCATCGAGCTTCTGTCTGAGCTCTTTGGATACATGTGCATATGATGAACAACCAAAAACTCTAAGATGTGAGTATGTAGGATCCTTACCTGTCCATAGCCTCTCTGGAACTTCAAAGTTCAGTGGTACTGAAGGTGATCGGTTGATAAGATAGCATGCGGTGTTGACTGCTTCTCCCCAAAATGACTTTGGAAGTTTAGCCACATTTAGCATGCTCCGGACACGCTCCATGATAGTTCGGTTCATTCTTTCAGCAACATCGTTGTGCTGAGGGGTGCGTGGTACTGACTTCTCATGTCGAATGCCATATTCTCTGCAATATGCATCGAACGCCTTGGATGTATATTCGCCTCCATTATCAGATCGGAGACATTTCAACTTCTTTCCTGTTTCACGTTCCACCAAGACGTGAAATGTCTTGAAGCTCTCAAAGACCCGATCCTTCGTCGTCAGGAAATACACCCACACTTTCCGAGAAGCATCATCGATAAAAGTCAGAAAATATCTGCTTCCACCGATTGATTCTACCTCGAAAGGACCACAGACATCGGAGTGTACCAAACTTAACAACTCCGTTCTTTTAGTTGAAGTAGAACTAAATGATACTCTATGTTGCTTACCAAATAGACAATGACTGCAAGGACCCGGTGCAGAATTCTTGTCAATGTTGATAAGGTTCTTCTTCATCAAGGTAGTCAACCCTTTCTCACCGATGTGGCCGAGCCTCAGATGCCACAGATTCTGAGAAGTCTCCTCTGCAATGTTGAGGCTATCCATAACAATCCTCAAATGGGTTTTGTACAATGTGCCACAAACATGTCCTCGAGCGATTGTCAAAACGCCCTTTGACATTTTCCAGGTGCCCCTGTTAAAGTGGTTGTCATACCCCTGTTCGTCAAGACATACCACAGATAGGAGATTGAGCCGAAGGTCTGGGACATGTCTGACATCCTTCAAACTGATTGTGCTCCCAGTACTCGTCTTTATTTGTATATCACCAATTCCAGCTATTCTAGAGGAACTGGAATTGCCCATCTTTACTGCTCCAAAGTCTCCAGCTTTGTAAGTTGTGAAGTAGTACTTGTGGGGAGTAACATGGTAGGATGCTGCAGTATCTACCACCCATTCAGTTTCCTCTCTTGAGACGTGCAAGCATGTTTCATCATTGCTAGTACAATACGCCACATCACCTGAGATTGTGATGAGCGCTTCACCACCCTTGTTCTTCGCTTGAGAATTGCTCTTTCCTCGCTCCTCTAGCAATTTGTAGCAATTCTTCTTCATGTGACCCTCTATACCGCAATGGTGGCAGGTATAAGAAGGTTTCCGGCCATCTGATGATCTCCCCCGACTTTTGCCTCTGCTTTGCCACTTTCCTCTACTGTTTCTTTGTTGCTTTCCTTGTGATCTTCCTCGATTCTCCGTCACAAGAGCATGAGTCTGATCTGTGCTCATGTCTTTCCTCCTTGCCTCCTCATTGAACAATGCATCCTTGACCACATACATGGTAAGTTTGCCATCTGGGGCTGAGTTGCTGAGAGTAACAACTAGTGTCTCCCAACTATCAGGAAGGGAACTAAGAAGTAGTAGAGATTGCATTTCATCTGCAAGTGGCATTTCTACACAAGATAGTTGATTTACCAGACTCTGAAACTGACTAGTATGTTCGGCAACAGAAGTTCCACTTTTGAGCTTCATATTGACAAGACGCCTCATCAGTAGGGCCTTATTCCTGGCGGTCTTGGCCTGGTACATATCTTCTAGCTTCTTCCAAAGGGCATAAGCGTCGGTTTCTTATGCAACGTGGTGGAAGACACTATGATCAATCGATTGACGGATTTGACCAATAGTTTTTCTATTTATTTTCTTCCACTCTATTGATTTGGGTGGGTCAGGATTAATACCTTTCATCTCTATTGGATCAAAAAGGTCTTTACAGCTAAGGAAATCTTCCATCCGAGGTTTCCATAGCGTGTAGTTGGTAGCCGTGAACATAATCATAGCTCCGGAAGATGAAGTTGACTCGTCAAAGGTCATTTTCACCTTCTAAATAATTTAAATATTCTGTTTGAGAAAAATCGGAGCAGAATTTTGAAAAACGGGCAACACCGTTGCGTCTGAAACGGCCAAAAATGGTGGGTAGACACTTTCGGGGTCAAAATACAATTTCCGAAAAATTATAGGTGGAAATTATAATTTTCCAAAAATTGAGGGACCTAACTGCAATTTTACAAAATTTAAAAACTGACCGGTGACGTGGCAGATGACGTGGCGCTAACTGGGCGTTGACGTGGCAGCTGACTGGGCGCTGGTGGAAGATGGCAGTGAGCTGATGATGTGGCAGATGTGCACTCGTGACGCTGATGTGTCGCTGACACATCTCTGACTGGCTGATGACGTCAGCGATGACGTCAGCTGTCTTCAACCTCTGGCCTGCGTGCAGAATGACGTCAGGGATGACGTCAGCGAGCTCCTCGCCACCGGCGCGTAGGCGGCGCGTGTGGTGGCTTCCGGTGGCCTAAAAATTACCAAAAATACCAGTTTTTCTCGTCTCGACGAGACGAATCTAACGGTGTATTCAGATTGAAATTCCGAGCAAAACTGAAAAACACGAATTTTCAGACAGTAGAATTTTATCAGAAAATTCTGGGGAAAAAATACCAAAAGCTCAGCCAGGCTCTGATACCACTTGTTGGGAATAACAGGATCGTGCTAATATGAGAGAAAAACACTTCTATTTCTTTCAAGAATAGAAAGAAGAGACATACAAGCTCTAATTAAAAACTCTCAAAACAACACCTCACATATCTCTCAAGGATATTCACAACTCTTCTTGGTTGTGCTATGATGATCTATTCTAATTTACTTGATGATAGAAAGACTCTCCAAGCTCTCTATTTATAGCACCAAAACTAGGTACTATGAAGGTGGGAGGAAGGTGAGATTAAACATGAGGAAACTTTGAGGAAGCTCCCTTTGTCATTCTAGCACATGGATGAAGCTTCATGGTTATTGCTTGCACATGGAGGAAGCTTCATGGTTGTTGCAATTGGATTCTTCAATTTGCTTGTACTTGGATATGTCCTGGAAATTGAATTCTTCAACTACAATGTAGTATCATAGTAACCTATGTTTAAAAATTGAACTTAAGTTACTATGATTTCATTACTACTCTAGTAATTAGTCACATTTTTGTAAACAATCTTTATTTTTATCATATATATGTAATCATATTTTATTGCTACAGACGGGATATTTGCATCTAATTTACTTGTCAAACAATTTGTCAAATATGTCTTCAAAAATTACAAAAGAATGACTCTACGGTTAAACAGGTTCTTGGCCTGTATCAATTTGAGTTCTTTAATTCACTCTTGTACTATTAAAATCTTCAATTAGAATCGACCGAATTAAAACTTGCAAATAGCACAGTTGACAGGCTTCATATACTTCGTAGGGGAGCTCTCATGTGCATTCACGTTATGGAATGTTGTGGTGCATCATACAAATGGCTAAATCCTATTGGACATATAGTCTAGGTCAACAACTTCATTAAAAAGATTAAAAAATTACACAGTGAACCCTGCAAATGTACCCTTTTTCACATGTCTGGTACTCCACCTCCCTAATGTGCTCATTTTTTATGTGTCAACTCCTCCAGCGGATCGGAAACTCCACCGGAAGTGTGGTTGTTCAATCCAAACACCTCCTTCACCAATCTAATCTAGGCCTGTGACATCAACTTCATTCTATTCATTGTATTGAATGAGGAAGAGAATTATCTTCTTTGCCAGATTTTTTGAGGAAGACAATTGATCAATTTCAGATTTTCAGGTATCATCCCTTGTGGTTGTGCTTTATCACTTCACATTTATATACTATAATTTCTTCAATAAAAAAACCATTAATTTATATTGTGCCTGTTTTCTTTTCACTCTACAAAAATAAGAGTTGAATTAGAAAGAAGATGATTTGTAAATTTTCAATAAGAAAACTAATCACGGCACATCTCCGCCTCAATTTCAACAAAAGCAATTGCATGTACTCTCATTCGGATTGTTTACAACTCCACCCTGTTTGCAATTTCCTCATTTAGTGAATAAATCGAAGTATTATAGTCATCTGCTATACCAAGATCTTTTAACATTTGTTCTTACATGATCATCTCTTATCTAATAAAAGATTTTATTATGTCATCTTAGCATAGGAGCACCAAGATTCTTGTTAAAAGATCATATATTCTTAGAGTGGCTAACACAAGGTCCTCTGATTTACAATCGACATATGGGATCAATGTGCTTACTTATGATAATTAGGTTATATTTTGTGTTCCTTCCTGTCATTGTTAAAACATGCAATAATAGAGAGCAAATTAAAGTGACGAATAAGAAGAATAAAAAACTGGTGAAGAGATTTTGGATGGAAAAGTATTTTCTTGTGTTGTTGATGTAGGAGTGAACCATCTAAGGGAAAAAGAAGTTCTTACTGATGGAGTGTTTGAAGACCGGGGGGGGGGGGGGGGGGGGGAGGACAATGTGGCAGTTTCTTTGTGTATGGACAAAAGTTACTGAACTTAAAATTTAACCTTCTTGTTTTAATCATATTGATCTTTGACTCTTTGTTAGGAATTAGGATCAACAAAATCAGACGGTGATCGATTTCGTATCTAGAAATGGATCAGGTACGTTCTCCTTATCATTGCTATTATTATATGATCTATTGCAAGCCCAAATAAATGGTAACTTAGTTGTTTTCCAGCTCTTAAATTGGATGCATATTGTGTTATGATGACAAATTTGGTAACTATGTTGGGCAAGTAAGTTACTTTACTATCTCAAATTTGAGTTCTTTGGTCGTGTTTAGTAGAGAATGATTTAGAACAAGATTGATACATCTTTATTTTACGTGTAATCCTTGACGTGAAAAATAGTTTCCTATCTCCTACTTTGCATTTAAATTTGAATTCACTTTTATATGTTTGGGGCGTTGAATATGTGGAAATTATGCAGTTTCTTACAAAATCAGGAACTCTTTTGATGTTTGGTATACTTTAAGGACTAATTTGAACATGAGATATCCTACTACATCAAAACAACATAAAATGTATTTCCCATTTTTTCAGAAAAGTTGTCTGGAAGACCCAAGAAAAAAGGTGTGAAGCAATGAAGAGCCATCGTCTAGAAAAGGAAAAACAACAATCTCCAGGAAAGGCAGAGTGATGACGTGTTCTATATCTAACGAGGCAGGACATAATAAAGCAAAATGCCCAAAGAAGGCCTCAGATACACACTTTGAGTCTAGCGAACTGTCGATGACAGTTTCAAAGAGAAAAGGAGAGCAAAAATGTGTCTACCAATCCAATTGATGACAGTTTCAACGCCACCTTATGTAGCAGGCTCTAGTGCAACCCTCCCCCCAGGAGTTTAGTAGTAACGATGTCATTGTAAAACATTTGGGTGTGTTTTTTTGTTATATGTTTATACTCTAGTGCATGTCTGATATGTACTTATTAAGTCTTGGTTTTGGAACAGTTTGGAGTGCCTATAGCAATGTTTTGGATGGCAATTTTTGTCTGGATAAATTGACTTTGTGTAATGTCAATCTGATTCCTCTTAAATTTGTCTCATGTGTTAATATTATCTAGTGTATTAGCTGCTAGTTTAAGTATAGGACATTGAACTGCTAAAGTTGAGTCATACCGATGGAAGCACTTAAAAGACCTTGATATACCCACTCAAAAGACCAGGTCTTTTTCTGTGGGAGTCACTCCAACAGGTCATGTCTTTCACATGCAATGCATAGATGTATTGACAACATATTTCAAAGAAATTTGATAATTATTATACACATAACATTGTCAAATACATGATCATGCCTCACTGGTCATTTGTAACATACTTCCGCTATCTAAACACATAATTTGGACAAATATTTAGACAGATCCATATATATAGGCTAAAGAGTCAAATAGGTCCCTGAACCGATCCTGTAGGCTCATTTCAGTCCCTGAATTAAAAAAAGGTCCAATTCACACCCTGAACTGGCAAAAAAGGGGTTCAAATTTCATTTTTTAAGGTTAAGGAACCGGTAAAAAAGGTCCAATTCGCACCCATGAACTATTAAAAAGTGTCAAAATTGCAATAAATCGAACATAAAAAACAGAAACAATTAAAAAATTAAAAAAGTAATCGGTTGTTTACCTGTAAAAAATGACATTTGAACCATTTTTTGTTGGTTCGGGGTGTGAATTGAACCTTTTTTTAGTTCAGATACTGAATTGAGCTTACACGACCAGTACATGGACCTATTTGTGTCACGCCCCGGACCTAGCCGGACACGTCAACAACCCACCGTACGGTACGAATAGTCAACCGCAGTCCAACTCATCCATACTATACAAGGCGTCATGAATATCATTCACACATAGTACATCCATAAACAACCATAATGTAAAACATGCAATTAAAACAGCGGAAACATTAATACAATTGTTCAAGCCACATTTGGCATAACTAGGCATACAAGCCCCCAATGTAATTATTCAGAAAATAGTATCCATGAGCATTAACGCAATTGTTTTTAAAACAGAACGGAAGAAGCACGAACCACGTCTTCTTCCCTTGATCCTCCTGAAGCAACGGGCAATGGTAGCAACCTTCACGTTCTACCTGAAACTGTGAGGTGGCCTCCCCCGTGAAGGGGAGGTCAGTACTTGGAAGCATTTGACAAATACAATAGCAACTATACTAAGTATAATCAACGTTTTAATTTCCAAGACCCTCAAAATAGGGTGATACCATAATATAAATAATAATTTATATTTCCCACTTATTATCTTTATAATAAGTAAATTCATTTATTTACCGGCACACGGCCCTTCTTATATATTCCTTTTCATTTATCATTTGCACAACCCAACCCTTGGGTCTTATTATTTCTACGGGACTTGCTACCGCTGTCCGAGACCTCATGAGGCTCCCGGTTCGGACTCCAACATCCCGCCCCTGGACTCATACCCATCATCCCGTAGGAAGGTAAGGCCCTTCGAGGTCCTATCTTATGTGTTACCGCTACCGGAACCTATTTAGGTCTTCGATTCAGATTCCACCCTAACCCGTGATCACGATGTAAGTCCATGCTATCCAACCCCGCTCTCTAGAGTTGGGAAGGGCCATGGTCCTTACTTATTTCCATAATTCAACCGGCTATCCACAAGGACTAACGAACACACCCGTAGGCCAATCCTATATCTAGGATCAATTTATTACTTACTTTATCTTGGGTATCCCTTAAGGCCTACCCCTAGTATAACTTAGAGTTCATACTTTCCTACCTTAAAGCATCTCTTAGGACTACTTAAGGCATAACATTTCACAATCCACTCTTAGGATCAATCTTAACAACATTTCATTTTAATGTCCAACTAGTATCTTAATACTAGTCAAATTCATACCATTAAACCAAGTTCTCAACTCATAGTCATATAGACAATTCCAACTGATTTTCCTTTGAAAATGTCACTTATCTCAATATCCAAAATATCACTTTTAATCACTCATATATTCAAATATGAAGAGAAAGTATATTTCAACATACGTTTCGTAATTAATTCCACTTTCAAGTCAACCTATTCATAACACATGATCATACACAATTTACTCTTAAATTTGTATATCATACTCCTTTTTCCTTAGACATTTAGTCTTTTCATTTTTTAGGCATTATTAATCATTAATAATCCATAAAAACACATTTAATTACCTTCGGTAATCTCATGAAATTAACTCACTAATTATAAGCAATATAGTCAGCCATCCTCACCTTATGATGTGCTGAAATAGTTGCCTTTGTTGAGCTCCCCGATAAATCCTCGTTTTAAACCGACAAAAAGGCAAAACTGGACTGCCTGGGCAAAAGCCGGGCGGCTTTCGTAGTCTGCAGCTACGAACAGCTCCTTTGGAGTGGCGGTTTCTGGCGGTTTCGATTCCTATCGATTTGCCAACCCTTCTAAGTTAATTACCACCACTTTATAACAATATTCCACACTTTTAAACGTGTAGAACATCATGTTTAATCCACCATATGATTTCTTACAAATCATACATGATAAAACTATTTAAAAGAGGGTAGATGAGTTATTACCTTCCTCTTAGCTAGTTTTCTCCTAGGATTTCTTCCTCCTAGCTTCCTCCAACTATGGCCTGCTGAGATAGCTTCCTGGAGTCCTTCTCTCTCCTCTTGTGTTGGCTGAATGAGTGGAATGGGAAGGGGGGAGGTACCTCTACTCAATCAAGCAAAATGATGCATGAGTAGGGTCCTAAAAATGGCAATTTTGACTCATGCCATCCCTTCACTTAATGACTCCGCACACACACACTTTCCATGGTCTCCTCCAGCTCCCCCCTTGTCTGCTGGAGTCTATAGGAACGTGGGGTGGCCCCCACTTAGGTGGGAGGTCATCCCGTTATGTCTCGGTGTGTACAATCGGTCCCGAAAGTTGTATTTCTCGGTCCGTTTTAATTATATTTTATTTTATCGGCCCAAATAAAATATATCACGTGTTCCTAATAATTATGGGCCTTTAGAATAGATGTACATTCCCCAACATTAATTTAGGAGTCTCCAAAACTTATTTCGGGCTGTCATCCGTTAAATTACCAATACCGGTAATTGGGTCTCGTTTGACCACCGGTCAACTCCGTGCCTTTCCTATGGCCCAAATAAAATATTCACAACCATATAAATGTCATCTTAGACCAAGATGAATATAATATGTGGTTCGGGAATTATCGGGCGGTCCCCGTTCCCGCTGTGGGCCCCACATGCAATTTACTATTCACGTAAAAGAAATAATGAAATTTAACAATTACGTAAATTCATAAATCATCTTTCAAGGTTTATTACATAATTTACTAAAAGTAAATATGCTTGGGGACGGTGCTACAAGTTCACCCCCCCTTAACGGGAATTTTGTCCCCGAAATTCACAACGATTATTCAAACAGAAATGCATATTGTTCCTTCATCGAGGCTTCAGTCTCCCAGGTTTCTTCTTCGACTCGGTCACTCTTCCAAAGGATTTTAACCATTGGAACTTTCTTGCTTCTTATCTTCTTTACTTGCCTATCAAGTATCCTTACCGGTTGCACGGCGTAGTTCAAGTCTTCTCGTATTTCCACGGGTGGTTTTTCTAGTACATGAGATGGATCCGGAATATACTTTTTAAGCATAGACACGTGGAATACATTATGTATTTTCTCCAATTCCGGGGTCACCTGTAATCGGTACGCTACGGCCCCAATTCTTTCAAGAATCACAAACGGCCCTATGTAGCGCGGGTTAAGTTTCTCTCGGCTCTGAAATCGGATGATTCCTTTCTAAGGTGAAACCTTCAAAAATACCTCATCTCCAACCTTAAACTCTAAGGCTCTTCGGCGCTTATCGGCATAGCTCTTCTGTCTATCCTGTGCCGCCTTAAGTCTGTCACGAATCATTTTCACCTTTGACTTGGTGATTTCTACCAGTTCCGTGCTCTCGAGTTTGGCCATCCCAACCTCATCCCAACACAAGGGTGTACGACATCTCCTCCCATACAATGCCTCGTATGGAGGCATGCCTATACTCGCCTGATAACTGTTGTTATAGGCAAACTCTACAAGTGCCAAATGGTTATCCCAACTCCCTTGGAACTCCAATGCACAAGCTCTCAGCATATCCTCTAATATCTGTATAACCCGCTCAGATTGCCCATCCGTTTGTGGATGAAAAGCTGTACTGAATTTCAACTTTGTCCCCATAGATTCTTGGAACTTCGGCCAAAATCGTGATGTGAATCGCGGATCTCTATCAGATACAATGGTTATAGGAACCCCATGTAGCCTCACGATCTCGTCCACATACAACTTGGCTAACCTCTCCAGTGCATAGGTAGTGTTGATAGGTAGAAAGTGTGTACTCTTCGTGAGCCTATCGACCACAACTCATACGGCATCATAGTTCTTAACCGTTCGTGGCAGTCCCACCACGAAATCCATAGTTACGTGCTCCCACTTCCATTCAGGAATGGAAAGTGGCTGTAGTAACCCAGCTGGATGCTGATGTTCTGCCTTAACTTGCTGACAAGTAAGACACCTACTGATGTACTCGGCTATTTCCCTCTTCATACCGGACCACCAGTAACTTTCCTTCAAATCACGGTACATTTTCGTGCCTCCCGGGTGCATGGCATACGCCGATGAATGAGCCTCCTCTAAGATGGACTTTCGGAGCTCATCATCCAACGGTACACACACTCGGTCACGAAATAATAAGAGACCATCGTCTCTTTCCCTGAAATCCTCAACCGGTCCCGCTAGCATGCGTTCACGGATCTTCATAAGTTCTTCATCGGTCTCTTGACCCTTCTTGATTTCATCAAGTAATGTAGGTCTCACCTCAAATCTCGCTAATAAGGCACCATCGCTAGATACCTATAATTGGGCTCTCAATGCCCTCAAACTAGTCAATAATGCCCCAGATGAGTTCTTTCGGCTCAAGGCATCCGCTACCACGTTGGCTTTACCGGGGTGGTACTCGATAACTAGATGGTAGTCCTTTATCAGCTCCATCCA